TTTTTTTAAAAAATAATAATCAGATAAATAATAATATTAACAGATAACCTAAAATAAATAATAGATAAATTATAATATATAATCAAATAAATATATATATATATAAATATTAACAGAAAAGAAAGAAAAAGAAAAAAAAGAAAAAAATAGTAATTATAATAATAAGGATATATATTAATAAATAGTAATAATAAATAAATACATAAGATAAAAATAAAAGAAATATATATATAAAAAAATAAAAAAAATACAAAAATATAAAATGCAAAAATAAAAAAAAAATGGGCTTACCCATTTGGACCAGGCCCAATCGATCCGGGCCTAGACCAAATTGGGTGTCTACAATGAATCCTTGAAATTTTCAAATATAAAGTTTTAAACTGTGGATGTGAATCACTAACAAAAATCTTTTGAATGTGAATTTTAGAATCTTTTATGTGAATTATAGTTTGTAAATATTGCAAATCTGAAAATTTTTGTGAATCTTCCATCTTAGTGAATCTAAAAGTCTTGCAAATCTTTGAAGTTTTGCAAATCTAAAATTCTTGCGAATTAAAGTCCATTCTTGCGAATCTGAAAACCTTATGAATCTGGAATCTATGCGAAACTTAAAATCTTGCGAATCTAGAATCTCTGTGAAACATGAAATCTTTGTAAATCTAAAACCTTCAAGAATATTGAGTCATTTGCAAACTTTTGGAATCTTTACGAAACTTAGAATTCTTGCGAATCTGAAAAATTTTTGTGAATTTTGAATCTTTGAAATTTTGAAATCATTACGAATTTTTTACGAATCTTGAAGTCTTGAAATCTTTCAATTCTTATTATAGAAGTTTGCAAATCTTTGAAATTTTGTGAACCCTTAAATTTCCAATTTATGAATCTTTGGATTTCAAGATTTTTTAAAAATTTTTTAACCCAAACAAAATGGATGTATTTTATTTTTGCGTAATTTATGTTTCACAAAAACTGTGCAAAGAGGCGTAACTGTAGATATCCCATTTTGTCTGAGAATTTTTTTGAAGTTGAAATGGGCCTTATACCATAAATTGGGCCTTATGAGCCCAAGAATTAAGAGCTAAAAATTTTTTTTAAAAAAAAGAAAGGGAAAGTTTGAAAACCCAAAAGAAGAGTTGTGTGAAATGAAGATCTTGGATTCAATGATTTGATTTTCTTAGAGCTTAATTAATGCAAAACAAAATCACATAATTGAATCAAATAAAATCACCAAAATCACAAATTTCGAAATTGATTATTTTCCAAGTTAAAATAGCTTTGAGCCCTATATTAAGGACTCAAAATTGTGGTCAAGAAAAAAAAAAGGTGGAAAACCCACCAAGAAATGGATGACTAGCAATCTATACTCAAGTTTAGAATTGGTAACAAAGCTCTTAGGTTGGAATTGGTGATTATCTACCATTACAGATTAAATGATACTTTCACCTAAGTGTGTCTCCATACATTAAGGTAATTTTTACATTTTGTTTATTTATTTATATATTTATTCATTTATTTCACTTTTTTTTATGTATGTTTAAAATAAAATTTAAGGATTGTGAGTTTTAAATTATGAATTTTTTATTTCATGGGTTTAGAAGTTTTAAATTATGAATTTTACCAAATTATTTGAGAATTTCATAATGAATTTTTTGAAAAAATAATAACAAAATTTTCAATTCTACCAAACTTTTAGAAGATTTTAAATATTAAATTAAATCTTATCAAACTATTGAAGGAATTAATGAATTTTTTAAAAATAATAATAATAAAATTTCTAATTCTATCAAACTATTGATAGAGGACTTAATGAATTTTTTGTAAAAAAATAAAATAAATTTTTTAATCCTATTAAATTATTGGAGGATTTAAATATTGAATTAGATTTTACCAAATTATCGGAAGGTTTAATGAATTTTCTTAAAATAAATTTCATATATAATTTTACAATAAAATCTCACCAAATTATTGGAAGATTTACATCAAAGTAAATCTTACAAATTATTGAAAGATTTTACTGATTATTTTTTTAAATAAAATTTAAATGAATTGATGTAGTAGATTCTTTAGAGTGTGATACTAATCTCTATGAATACTTATAATATGAGAAAATTATCTTAAATTACTACCAAACTATTGGAGTAATTTTAGGAATAATTTTCAATTATTAAATAATTGACAAATTATAAAGATATTTTTAGACTTGGATAATTTGAAAATTGCTACCATCCTTTGGATGGGCGTTATAAGGGTACTATAACTTTCTTCACGTGTAATCGCACTTGCAAACTTAAATTTGGTTTTGTAGACTAGAATTTATTATTTAAAAAAACCTAAATCAAGCTTGAGACTTTTCTTTAAAACGTGATAAATTCGATTAGATGACCAATTGCATCTAAATAAAAAAGATTGATGGTAATTTTTAAGTCTAAATCTAACGGTAAATTCACGCATCTATATGTTATGACAATAATTCTATAAAAAAGAGCTGTTAATTTTAAACGTAATAAAAGATAAGAATAAGTATTAGTAGATTTTTTTAAATTAAAATATTAAATTTACATCGTAAAATTTAAATTAATTATTTTTAATAAATATATAATGTAAATGACTAAAAAAATACTTTTAAGACTTAAAAAAAATACAAGGTATAATAATTGGTATTTTAAAATTAATCCATTCTTCCCGCAACAATAAGATCCCATTTCCCTTTGGCAGATAAAAATCTTATACTCAATTCGCTGCAAGAAATCTCAATGTCTGCCCCCTTGCGGGTAATATTTGGGCGAGGAATTGGCTGTTGAAGACATGCTTAATCAAATTAGTATCTTCGTGTAAGTTGATTAAAAATTCACAGGCTCCTTATTTTACTTGTCTATAGTTGCCTAAGAAAAGAGAAATTAAAATATGAACAAAACTTTATTTAAAAAAAAAAAAAAGATGTGAAGAAAACAAATCTGATGGGAAGTGGGAAGGCAAGAGTTTAATTTTATTACCTTAAATAAGTATAGAAAGAGGCGTAAATTGTTTTGTTCTGGATCTACTTCTAAAAAGTGATGAGAATTGATCATAAGTTTATTGAGATGAATAATAAAATTCATATTAATTATTGTTATAGTATAATATTATTTGTTAATAATAAAGAAATAATAAAATATTATTTTATGAAAAATAATATGTGACATAATTATATTAAAATTTTTATTTTAATGTTATTATTTAGAAAAATAAATAAAAATAAATACGAAATATGTAATTTATAATATTTATAATTATTTTCATATTTTTTTCAATTAACCTTTTAATTTGTTTGATCATTTTCATTACTTTTTAAAATTTCATTATTTTTTTAATTTCTCATAAAATATTATAATATTTCTTGACCTTACAACAAGATTGAAAAATTTTGATCTTACTGTAGACTTGATCTCATTATGTTAGTATTTTTTATTTTTGTTAGTGGATATTCTCCACTCTCCACTTTTTGTGGTGTGAAGCTTTTAAATCGAGCATGCTATCATGCTTGCTAGGAAATGTTTATGCAAATGTATTTTTCTTGAAAAAATACCACTTCAAAAATTTATTAAATGGCTTATACGTAGGATGCCACTAAACCTACCACAGCTGTTCTTTGCAAAATGATTTATGCACTCCTTTTGTCTACTAGTTTTCCTTTTTGTTTTTTAAAATCTAATTTTAAGGTTAGTTTAGTTGAGGTTAAAAAATTTTGGATTGAAAAAAATATATTTAAAAAATGTGATAAGAAATGTGTAGTTAAAATTTTTTTTGAAGTAATATCATTAAAATTTTAAGTGTTTGATATTATTATAAAAAAAGGATAAATAATTAAAAAAATTCAAAGTGATATTTTAAAATAATAAAATATTAAAAATATATGAATAATATAGTAATTTTTATTCCAAACTCAATTTTAGTTTTTACTTAAAAAACATTTCTTGAGGAATTTTTTGATTTAGGTTGGTAAATTAGATTTTTAAACTGAAAAATCATATTTTTATTGTTTAGCATTAAGATTAAAATAAAAATAGTTTTTGAATGTAAAAGTTATTTTCAATAACAATACTAAATTAGACCTTAATCCTCATTTTTTCTAAAAGAAAAAAATTCAATTATATTTTAATTTTACATGCTTAAATAGCTATAAACAAAAGAATAAATATTAGAGTTTATTTTCCTTTTATAATTTTATTTGTCACCGTGCTAAAAACTTTTAATAAGACCAGGAATTTATTCATTTTTTATACATAATTTTACATTATATAATAAATAGTCTCAGTCTATATTTCATAAATCTCTCCCCATTTTATTTTTTTTTACTTGATATTGTTAAAATTTGAATTTCATCATTGTGGAATAATTTACTAATTGTTTACGTAACAACCCATAATATTATTAGAATAAAATAAAATTACATTATTACATTTTAACAGTAAAAAAAAATTTTGGTAGCACTTATGCATCACAAAACTGATCCAAATTAAAAAAAAAAATTTATTTTACTCCTTTAAATTGAAAACATTCGAATAAGAAATGATAAACATTTAAACCATATGAAAATTTAATTTAAAATTTAAATTTAATTTTAAAATTTAATAATTTAAATTTAAAATAATCTGAATTTACATAATTCAAATATCAAATTTGAATATCCAAATATCCAAATCCAAAATAACTGTAATTTATCTAATCCACCGATTTAGGAGAAATAAAAAAAAAAAAAAAAGAAATTAAATATGTTAACATCTTATCTCAATGGTTGGTCCGCAACACATTTCCTCGAGCTACTACTACAATTCTCTACGAAATTTCTCCAAACATCCACCGTCCACAGAACCAAGAGCCAAAAATCCAACGGCCGATGGAAAAAAAACACGAAACCTCACATGAAGTACGCTGTAGTAGATCCTTTCTTGTGGCGTATCGACCCATCGGGTTACTTCGCTGCAAAGCTACAAAAACCAATGGATGAAAGGAATAAATTTTCTAAATATGGAGAGTCAAAACCGGAAACCGCAAAGACTTAAATTTTTTTTTTCCATACAAAACAAAAGAGGGGAATTCGTTTACGTTCCTACGCCAGAATCTCTCTCTCTCAATTTCCAATTTTCAAAGATTTTCGTTCCTAAAATCTTCTATTTCAATTTTCTCTTTTTAATTCTTAATATTGTTTTGAGATAACCTTAAGAAGGTGAAGCTTTGGTTGTCGAGTGATCTGGCAGGAGCTTAGGGTTTTTAAGGTCTACTTCAAGAGATGGGTCGATTTTGAAATCGATCGATCATACTATCGAACCATTTTCAAAACGGAATGGAAACGGCGAGGCTTGTCTGGTCTCGGCTTCCACATTCGGAAGAAGGTGAGCTCGATGGAGTTGAACTCTTGAGTAATACAAGCAATAGGAATGGCGTCGATAGCCTTGATTATGAAGTTATTGAAAATTACGCCTATCGAGAAGAACAGGTACTTTTATGGAAAAATTAAAGCTCAATTTTCAGTTTTAAGTTATTGGCAATCTATTTTATGCTTTTGGATTTAATTTAGGCACAAAGAGGAAAGCTTTATGTTGGATATAACGTGGGGGTGAAATGGTTCTTCGCTTTGCTCATCGGCATTGGTAAGTTGATTGTTTCTCGATTCGAATTCTGATTTGATTTTCGGGTTTTTCAAATAAAAAAATTTTTTTTAAGCTTATTTCGACATTTTTGAGGTTGTATTTCAGGTTATGGTGTGGAGTTGGGGTATGGAATGACAGTTATTTAGTTTCATTTATTTATTGAATCTCTTTAACTGTTAGTAGCATAGAAACATTGAAATGTTTAGAACCATATTGGTTGCTTAAGATTATTGAAAAAATAGATTTTCGATTGTGTGTTTTACTTTGAGCGACAAATACTGCTCTTGCATTATTGTTAGGTTAATACAGATGTAGAGGTAATTAGATTAATCATTACTTGACCTGAATTGAATTATAAATTTGTTTAATGATCTGTTTTTAAATAATTCTTTTCCTTATAGGTAGTGAACTTCTATCTCTTATTTGTGTGAATTTTTTTCCCATATGGTATTTAGAAGTATGGATGATTTTTTTTCTTTTAATTGCTTTCAGGTACTGGATTAGCTGCTGTATTTATCAATATTTCTGTTGAGAACTTTGCTGGATGGAAGTTTTCCTTGACTTTTAACATAATACAAAAGTCATATGTGGCTGGTTTTCTAATTTACATCTTAATCAACTTAGCTTTAGTCTTTTCTTCTGTATATATCATTACCCAATTTGCACCAGCAGCAGCTGGATCTGGTATTCCTGAAATCAAAGGATATTTGAATGGTAATTTTTTATTTTTCAATCTGTTTTAGTTGTTATACTCATTAATGAGCTATCATAAGTGTTGCATAGGCTGACAATCCAATTCTTCTCTTTATCCTCAGGAATTGATATTCCTGGTATCCTTCTTTTCAGAACGTTGATTGGAAAGGTATGATAATCTTGCTAGCATTATGTTGCAACTGAGATTAATCATAAACCAGTGATCACTTTATAGTTCACAGGTTTTTTTAGTAGACAATTTATGTGGATGTAATTTTTAAAATTTTTATGAATTCAGATTGGTGTTTTTGAGGTTTATCAATCCAAACAACACTTTTTAATATGTATCTAGATCTGTTTCAGTTGCATTCTTGTCATTGTAATTTGCAGATATTTGGAAGTATTGGTTCAGTTGGAGGTGGTTTAGCTCTGGGAAAAGAAGGTCCTCTTGTTCATATTGGAGCTTGTATTGCTTCTTTGCTTGGACAAGTAAGCACGTAGTGTTAAAAGAATGCTTATGTCAGGATATGATTTTCACCATAATTTGCTCTGAAATGACATGATTTTATAGTGATCAAATGACTTGATTAGTGGTCTTAAAAGTAGTTCAAATTGTTGCCTTGGCATGCCCCATGTAAGAGAGGAGGGTTTACTTTACACCTCAACTATTTGTTGATGCAGTCTTGGAATGCGTTAGTAGTGTATTTTAACAACCGTATCTACTTATTCTGCCTAAAAAGTTTAACATTTTTTCTGTTTTATGTCTGGCATCTCTTCAGAACTTTCCTTGCAAACTAAATTTTCATTTCATGTTATCCGTTGATTCAGGGTGGATCCACAAAATATCATCTAAGTTCCAGGTGGCTTCAAGGTTTCAAGAGTGAGCGGGATCGTCGTGATCTTGTGAGTATAAGAATGCCTTCTTTATTTATAGTTGTGGAAAGGTTATATATGAGAATGCCTTTGTGGATTTTCTCCTTTTGCGTGTATAGCTGTTGAAAGATGAATCCTCCTAGGGTACTATTTTCCTCCCTGACTTCCGAATCATTTTATTATTGTATGTTTCATTATCTTGTCTTGTGACTCCTGTTGATATTGGTGGCTTTAATTGGAACTTACATATATTTGGTCATATTCTATCATTTTTTTCTAACAACGGTGGTGATATACCTCTAAATTTTTCTCATTTTATTTATTTATCTAATATTTTGAAAAGGTAACTTGTGGCTGTGCAGCTGGAGTTGCTGCTGCTTTTAGAGCTCCAGTTGGGGGTGTATTATTTGCATTGGAAGAGGTTACATCTTGGTAAAAAAAATTTTTCTCAACTACTTTTTAAGTATTTGGACAAGCATGTTTATGTTTGAGATTAAACTGTTATATTTTTATTAATATTCCTGTATTTCCATTTTCATCTTAAGTTAATTGTAGTTTTGTTGTTATTCATGTGTGAGTTCTGGTATAGATTTGTATGGATATGCATATAGGTATTCAACTCTAACCTTCATGTTCATTTGAATGTTGCCTTTTGAAGGTGGAGGAGTCAACTAATGTGGCGTGTCTTTTTCACTTCTGCAATTGTGGCTGTTGTGGTACGTGCTGCAATGGGATGGTGTAAAAGTGGAAACTGTGGACATTTTGGATCTGGTGGTTTCATAATATGGGATATATCAGAGTTAGGATCTGAACTTCTTTAAGCTTTTGCATATTAAACTTTTTGCTTGGCTTTAGTTTACTGCTTCCAACTTTTTTCCCCTTTCTTTCTTCCTTTTTAGTGGTCAAGAGGACTATTCTTTTGAGGAATTATTGCCAATGGCAGTTATTGGAATCATTGGAGGTCTACTAGGTACAGCTTTTAATTGGGTTTCATATCTGTTCTTATGATCTTTGATGTAGGACAACTAGAGAAGAGATAGAATATAGAGATTTAGAGGGGAAATCAGATATAGACAAGAACAATTAGGAAAGAGCAGAGGAAATCAGTGGGACAAACAGAAGAACTAGGGAGAAAACGAGAAAATAATCAATAGAGGGAAGAAAATAACAACACTTAATATCTCAAATTCTCAAATTTTAATAATCCAAAATCTGAAGTTTCAATTGATTCATAGGGTCTTAACAAGAGAATTCCTGTTAAAAATAAAGAAAACAAGAATAAAGCCACATTCCATACAAATAACAAACCAAAGCAAAGAAAAAGAAAAGAAATAACCAGGTAGATAGAAGATTCAAGAGGCCTGATCAACATAAAGACGAATGCGCTGACTTGATTTTTTTGGCATTATAATTACAACTACAAAAAAGAGCAAAACCAGAAAATGATCAATAGAGGGAAGAAAATAACTACACTTAATATCTCAAATTCTCAAATATTAATAATCCAAAACCTCCTCAAAATTAAAATAACATAGGTATTTATAACTAAACCGAAAACCCTAATAAAATGAAAAATACCAAATAGAACCCTAATTAAAAGTTAAACCTAATAAAATGAAAGGCCTAAACAGTTCTCCATCAATCTTAGTCTTTGTTTTTTTATTTATATTGTTTATTTTACAGTATTCTTTTTATTAACATATATTGATTTTTCTTGAGCCCAGGAGCTTTGTTTAACCAACTTACTATTTATATAACTCGCTGGCGACGAAATTATTTGCACAAGAAAGGTAATCGAGTCAAGGTAAGAATTCTAGCAACTTTGGGAACTACTTGGGTTCTCAATGAGCATATCTAATATTTTAAACCACCGCTTATTCCACTGGTTGTCCAAAAAAAATTGCAGATATATGAAGCATGCCTCATCTCTGTGATAACATCAGTTATATCTTTTGGACTACCACTTCTGAGAAAATGCAGTCCTTGCCCTGACTCAGATCCTGACTCTGAAATTGAATGTCCAAGGGCTCCTGGAATGTATGGGAATTATGTAAATGTAAGATATGCTCATATAGTTGCCTATTGTTTGGATAAACTTGACGTGCATGGTATCCAATGTTTTCCTTATTGTCATGATGCAGTTTCCCTTCGGTAAATGCCTTTTCTATTCAGTTTAAATTTATTTGACTTTAATGATTGTGGTTTTTCCTCCCATTATATCAGCTAAAAATTTCTACAAGTTTCTGAATGCAAGAATACAGGAACTGCATCCAGCTATACTTTAAATTTACTTTCTTGTTATTTGAACCTTAAGCAACCTTTTAAATATGCAGTCAGTTTTGGTTGCAAAGTATCTCTACTTTTCTATTTTCTAACTTTGATGTAGCTTTTCTTTGTTCTAAAATATTTTTCCCCTTCTGAGTGCGTTGATCTCAAAAGCCATCATGTTCATGTGAATATATAAATATAGATATATATATATTTATATATATTTCTCAGATGAATAGATACTTTTGGGGTGAGATGACCTTTTGTTCTCTAATTTCTGTCTTTTTTCTTGAAGTTTTGATTGCTTTACATTCTGGTTATTTCTCCTAAATATGATTTAATGTGATCTGCAGTTCTACTGCAGTAAGGACAAGGAGTACAATGATCTTGCGACTATCTTCTTCAATACTCAGGTTTCTTGGATCTTTGGAGATACATCCTTTCCTTTGAAATGCTAGTTGCCTTGCTAGTTTCTTTTCTAACAGGTTTATATTTGTCACAGGATGATGCCATCAGAAATTTGTTTAGTGCAAAAACAATTCATGAGTTCAGTGCCCAAAGCTTGTTAACATTTTTGGTAGTGCTCTTTGAACTTGTTGACTCTCTTACAAGAATGCTGATAGTGTGTTCTAAAAACGTATCACCTATCTACTTTATGTGGTTATGTATGAAATTGTGAGGTTAGTAGTTGCATGTCTCCTATTAGCATGACCTATTTGTCGTCCAGGCCTGTCTGCTCTTGGTTTTATTTGTTATGAAGTCAGAAACTAAACCAATTCTGTTCCTACTCTAGATTCCTTAGAAAGGAAATTTAATGTAAAAGTCTGGGTTGGAGGGACAGAACACATTAGAAGGAAAACATCTTCCATTCCCCTGCTGAGGCTAGCTAAAGAATATAGCAACATAGGAGATAAAAAGTAAAATAGAGGCAAACAGAATCAGATTTAAAGTATTTGAGACCAGGAGGAATAATATGTCCAAACTATTTAGAGGTTATGGCAATCTGTTTGGCTGAGACAAACTGCCTTTGGTATCCCATATTGAGGAGAAAATTTCTAAATCCCAAAATATTAATGTTGACTTCAGCATGATGCAGTTCTTGAGCACCTATCTTTTTCCTTTTTTTTCCTTTTTTTCCCCCTTAAGAAAGGGGCATAATAAGTTAATCAGGAGTGAGGAAAGGGAGTGGAAACTGTTGTAGAAAATTTATTGAAAATATTTTGTAATTGTAATATTATATCCTTAGAATATTTTGTGATACGAATTACAATTTAAACAATTGAGGGCTTTTAGGAAATGCACTTACCAAATTTTATAGTTGAGAACTTCTAGGAGATTTGTTCTATAGTAGTGTTTATTATATTTTTACTATTTACATGTACAGCTGAAGTCATTGGCCAATATTATTATCCCTGAAATCATTTCATGGTCTGAATTTTTTTTTTTAAATGATTTATTTCAGGTTATGTTCTATACCTTAGCAGTGGTGACATTTGGTACTGCTGTTCCAGCTGGTCAATTTGTTCCTGGAATAATGATAGGATCAACATATGGCCGTCTTGTTGGTATTTTTACAGTTAACCACTACAAGAAGCTCAACATTGAAGAGGGAACGTAAGTATATTGTTTGTTTTTCTTATGGAATATAATTGATCACATCTATATTCCTATACTTGTTATATATATATACATATATATGTTTTTGTTGTCAATAATATCATTTTTCTTAATTGCCTTACTTTCTAACTTTTGTTTAGTGATTCCTAAGAAACTTACCTTGTTACATACTACACGATTTCATTTTTGAAGCGCTCTATAATTTGGTGTATTTGCAGATATGCACTTTTGGGAGCTGCTTCTTTTCTTGGGGGTTCCATGCGGATGACGGTATCTCTGTGTGTCATTATGGTTGAAATCACAAATAATTTGAAACTATTACCTCTTATTATGCTTGTTCTTCTCATATCAAAGGTATGTATTTTGTTAGTTTATTCGATTTGGATTGATGTGCTTCAAAATGTCCTAACTCTTTTTCCCTCCCAGGCTGTTGGTGATGCTTTTAATGAAGGCTTATATGAAGAACAAGCACGATTGAGGGGCATTCCGTTGCTGGAATCAAGACCCAAGTACGAGATGCGGAAAATGACTGCCAGGGAAGCCTGTGGAAACCAGAAGGTTAGTTGATTGATCCTTTTAAATGAGGTTTCTCTGGCAAAGATGCCATGGTTTTGCAGTGTTTAACATAACAATCATCTTTAATTTAGCTGAGAATCATGTGAATAAGTAGGTGCTAAAATCAACGTACAACTTCAACATGACGCCTACACTTTGACTCCTAATCTGCTTGTTTTTCTACCTTTATAGGTTCTCTCACTTCCTAGGGTTGTAAAGGTTGCAGATGTGGTTTCTATTTTGCGGAGCAACAAACATAATGGCTTTCCCGTAAGCTTAGCTTTCTCATCACTTTTTTCTCTAGTTTAATGTTAGCAATTTTGAAAACTGTGTTTAATTGATTACCTTAACTAGGTGATTGATCACACAAGAAATGGAGAAACACTTGTTATTGGACTTATGCTTCGAAGGTACAATGTAATGAACTCCTGGATGTTTCACCGTTTATATTTAGAGCAGAAACAGATTTAAAGAACTAACTGCTGTACTTTGTTTATGATGCAGTCACCTACTGGTACTTCTTCAATCCAAGATAGATTTCCAGCATAGTCCTTTGCCATGTGATCCCAGAGGTCGATCCCAAGCAATTAGGTAAGTGGAAATCTTCATGTATGTCTAAACATTTTATTCTGTCATTCTGGCTTTTTGTTGAGTTTAAGACTAAATACCTCCCATCATTTACAGGCACAATTTTAGCGAATTCGCTAAACCTGTTTCAAGTAAAGGAATATCAATAAATGATATTCATCTTAGTTCAGATGATTTAGAAATGTACATAGATCTCGCACCGTTTTTAAATCCCTCACCGTATATTGTACCTGAAGATATGTCATTAACAAAGGTGATTTTTTCAGTTTTGCTTTTAACAGATTTTCATGTTTGTTTGCTGTGGTATAATTGTCTTCTATCTTATTAGTGTTTATTATAATGTGATGGTATAGGTTTACAATATTTTCCGCCAACTAGGATTGAGGCACATATTTGTTGTTCCTCGTGCATCTCGTGTCATTGGTGTGATCACCAGAAAGGATCTGCTGATTGAGGAGGTATTTCTAGCTGCGTCAGCTTATTCTTAAGATTTTAACGTGACTGCAATAATTGAACTTTGATCTTTTGCATTGCAGGAAATTGAGGATTCAGCTATTACGGAGCTCCAATCAACTAGTGTAAGGTCTCTGTCCTGCTTTACTTCTGTTTATGATTTCTGCCATGGTGACACTATTTCAGAGACCCATATTTTGAGTTAGAAAAAGGATTTTTTTTTTCTTAACAGTTGAGCTTTATTTATTCAGTAGGGAATTAAGCTTGGGATGGTTTTAAGCCTTTTGAATGATAACTTGAAAAATGCTCTCTCACAGGTACGGAATTGTGCTTGTGCTGCCAAAAGTTTTAATAAAATGACTAAAGCAATCCTATATGGATTTTGGAAATTTTTGTTTGATATAAAACCTAATTGAATGAGAACAGATAAAGTATGTGGAAATCATGATCTGCCTAATTAAGAATGTACAATGTCCCAATACAATTCCACATTTAGGGCGCTATGGTAGAATTGTTCTCCAGTTTTGGTTTTCAAGGCAGTCTGCTCCACCATTAAAATTTCTTTCTCCTGCACATGAAACTAAAATGTAAGATAGAGTTTTACATTGCTCTTCGATTCCATGTGGTAGCAGCTTTAGATTTGGATTTTTTGCTGAGTATAAAGGTGTGTTTGAAAGAGCTAGGAGGCTTTTGATATATAAAAAATCATACTGTTCCTATGTCTTTTTTGGCTGCTTATGTTATTCCTATGTCAAGACTCAAGACCATATTATAGTCATGTATTTAATTCTATGGTGGAGTTTTTCTTGGGCATGAACATATAGTTGTGCAAAATATGTAGTTCTCACTATTGAGTCCGTCCTATTTTTTTTTTTTTCTTATTTTCTTTGCGGAACTCAACCTCTTATTATTTCATGTGCTTTAATTTTTAATATTGGTGTTGACTTTTTTTTTTTTTATGGCAGAGGTCAGCGACATGAGAAAAGATTGTTGGTGAGGAATGCAGACGCAGAGCGCCCCCTCCTTAGTGGTATTTTGGTTCAAGATACAGATCATACACTTAGTTGAAATAGGATTCTTTTGGCTTCTACCATTTTCTGACCTAAGATCAAATTCTTTTTCTTCGTCATAATTAAATTTATCCAAGGGATAGGTTAGACACGATTAACTACACTTCTGAAATTTTGTATTATATATTGATTAAAAAAATTATGTAGTTTTGCATTTATGTGCTTGATTGGCAAGATATTTCTAATTTTAATATATCCAAACGGTGATAGAGATAAGTAAAAATATGAGGGATTAACTTATACAAATTTTAAAACTGTTTTAGATCTTTGATTTTAATAAACTCAGCAGATGAGATTAGTTTTTTTCTACTTATCTCACTTATTTCTTAGATTTATTGAAATTAATGATTAAGAAAAATATAAATTTTTTAATTTTATACAATATAAGTTGATCTTTTTTCATAAATAATATATATAGAGAGAAGGGATCAATGAATCAACTTATATAATGCAAAATTAGAAAGTTTTAAAAAATTATCTAATGATTAATTTTAATAGATTAAAAAGATGAAACTAAATATATTTTTTTAAAATTTTAGTTTTCTTTCTCATATTTTAGATTTATTGAAATCTATGGATAAAAAATGTTTAAAATTTTTATAGTTTTATATTATGCAAGTTTATTTCTTCTTATATATTATATAGAGCAAAGGGTCTATTTATAAAATGTAAATCTTTTTATATATTATTTTAATCATTAATTTTAATAAATTTGAAAAATGAGATTAAACTATTTTTTTTATTTTTTTAATATCTTTTATTCGTATTTTATATTTATATTGAGAGCTATGAAAAAATAATACAGCTATTATATATTATTTCACTTAGTCTTTTTCTGTCAATTAGTCATTATGATATTTTCTTTTGATTCATTACCTAAAATTTAAAGAAAATTAATTTTTAAAAAAATTCTAAAAAAATTCATGTACACTAACTCATATTACTTTTCACTATTTTCAATTTTATCAATATTTTATCAATACAATATTTTTTATTCAACAATTATTATTAAACTTTTAAAACTATCAAATATAAAAATTTCAAAAATATAAAAATTATAATATCCCTCCAACATCAATTTCCCGTAAAAATCAACATATATGCTACATTTTTAAAAATCAACCAATAAATTCACAACCATTTAAGTTTAAGAAACCTACAAGTACAACAATTTTTCAATTCAACAATCATTATAGTAGACACCTAATTTTTGTTTCAATTGACTTGAATTTTTTTCAATTTTTTATACTTGATTTGAATATTTTGATGTGGAGCAAATTTGAATTTTTTTAATTGAATCTACCAAATTGGGCTTTGTTCGAACTTTGTTTTGGATAAATAATCTTTAGCCATTTTTGCTTTGATCAAAGTTCACTCTATGTCAATATTGGGCCAATCTATATGGGCTTAGAGGAAATTTGAAGTTCAAATTTTAATTTTAAGACCCAAATTATTAATTGAAAAATACATAAAATTAAAAAAAAAAATTACAAAAAACAACAAAAAAAAAAGGGATTCCGTGGCCAAGCTTTTCACCCTCACTTTCTCTTCAAACTAAGACTAACACTACACATTTCCATCATTTGCTATGGATTGTTTTTACATTCTCTGTTTCCATTTATTTTTAACATGATTTGATCAAAATTCCTTAATTTTTCTTCCCTAAAATACAGCATTGCAAAAGCCCAAAATATAATAACTATTATTGTAAGAAAACTTAAAAGGGCCATTTACAAACAAAAAAGGGAAGGTTCCATTTTGGTCCTTGAAATGGTGGAAGAAAGCAAAAATTTTTTTTCCAAAAACCATTCGGCTACAAAAAATTCCTAGCAAAATTCCCAACTCCCATTAACCACCGAACAACTTTAAAAAAATTGACTAGCTTCAATTACAATTCCCCACGACCAGCTCATAATTTACAATACCAACACCATCACTAGTACTAGTCCTTGCATGCACCTAGCCCTTGCCCACTCCAGCACTAGTTACAACACCAATCTGATCACCACTTGATTGGCCTTTGCACACGCCCAAGCTTCTACCACCACAAAGCCAAGCTCTATTGAAATCTCCCTCAACACCAAGCCCCTACACGTATCAAGACTACAAACCTAAAACTAGCCCTGCCTTTGCTCTTTTACCGTTGAGATCCTTACCGAAATTGACCACCACTTAATCCACCATGAGTTTACACCATCCACCAATCGACACTCATGCACCAATCACCATTGAAAGCCCTTTCCCTCACCTTTGCCTCAGCCATAAACAACAAAAAATGAGTTCGTATTTGAACCATCCCTTTACCTAAAACCACCAAAACTCCACAAAAAAAAAAAAAGCCACCAATAACTAAAAAAAATCATTACCCCAAGGAGCCGAAACCCACCAACAACACTCCAAACCTCACATTGTAGCCATCTTTGACACAAAAAAAAGTAATAAAATCCCTTTTACCTTTTGTTCCAAAAATTGCACAAAAAAAAAAAAAACCACAGTCTTTAATGTTGTAAGGAACCCAATGCCAACAGTAAAGAAAAAAAATATAAAAATCATAAGAGCTTTCAATCAAGGCAGTTTGGGAAGCTTGAGAGTGTTCGAAGCCTAGATTTTTGTGAGGGGGAAGGTCATGAAAGGAGAAAAAACATAGTAGAAAATGGTGGCTTTTGGAGTGATGGAGATAGGTTGTTTTTGGTGTTGAAGTCACAGGTTCAAACCTATATCTAGGAAATTTGGCTAAGTTTTAAAAAAATTAAACTTGGAGTGGGAACAATAAGGTTAACATGAGGCCCTAGGTGAATTTTAGGTCCAAATGGCAATGGTGATCAGTGACCAATGGCGGGACAATGGTTGACGCAATGGTTGGTGGCTGGTTTTTGTAAGCAAATGTGGCTAGCGTTTTGGTTCTTAACAACTTTGAATTTTTTTTTTGTAAAAAAAAGGTTGAAATGAAATAAAGAAAGAAAAACCTAGCTTTTATAGCAAGAAAAAAAAATTACCAGTTAGACTGTGCGTAAACCTAACCTAACTCAGGTTTTGTGCACCCAACTCGATCCGATGCCAATCAATTGTCTTGAATCGGTCCATTTATGAACCGATCTAATTGAACCAGTCAAATAATCCTTAGTTGCTGAATTGCATTTGAATCGGACTGAACCACTTTGAACCATCGACCAACTTTGATAGGACTTTTTTGGTATTTTTTTTATTATTTCAACTATATTTTTTGCTAGATTATTTATTATCGTAACGATTTTGGGACCAACAAACGTAAAAAATTTTAAAATCAAAAAAATAAAAAGGGAGTCATCACCAATCTGTTTTAGGGTGTGATTGATTACCTAAAAGCTTATCTTTTTAATAAAACTATAAAAGGCGGGTTTAAAGTTTATCAAAAAGATAAATGTTGGTTTACAAAAAATCAAGTTAGGCTCGAGAGACGAGTATGTGTGGGGAAAGATTAGACCCCCACAATGCCCATAAATTGATACCATTTAATTATGCACTATTTTTAGTATTGGATAAAATGGTTTCGATTTGAATTTAATAATAATCCCTTTCATTTGAAAATAAGAATTTTTTTTTTGCTAAAGCTCTTTATTTAGGAATATTGAGAAAAGTTAAAGAATTATCTTCAAATTCTAAAACATCTAGGCAGAATTTAAAATAACTCTTTTCATTTAAGATCTAATACAACAATCCTTAAAATAAAAAAATTAGCATTCTTTATGGAAAATAATTGTTGGTGACTCTCCAACATCTAGGCAGAATACCAAGAATTATTTCCTTTGAAATGTTATTTTTGTTTTATTTATACATTCATTTTTGTTTTGTGAAACATTTTATATGTGAAAGTAAATAATGGTATTATTAGGTAATAAATAAAGATCAAAGACAGAAGAATGTGAAATGAGTGTCAACAATAATATAATGATGTATATATATGCCAATGGATGTTATGCAAGATGAAATGTAATTTTAAAGTTGGCTTGTAAGTATAATTAGACCACCCCGACTCTCTAACATTTAGACAAACCTTAGGTGTGACTGTTTATATTTAAGATCCCAATTTACTTGTACTTTTTATTTAATAATCCCATTATTAATGCGAATTAAGAATTCGTGTGAAAAAATTTAATGAAATAAATTTTTCTAAATACCTTATCATCTAGACAACATTTGGGAACAAATTACTTCAAGTGAGATTTTCACACGTGTTCTTAGGATTTTTAAGTGGTTTTGGTTAGAGCTTGAGTCGAGGTTTTAAAGGTTAAGGTCTTAAGATTTTGAAGATTCAAAATGTGTATCAAATTTGCGTCTTTACCTTTGGATTTTAGGGGTTTTTAGAAATTTGGATTTTTAGGTTTTCGATATTAAGGTTTGGGATTTTGGATTTTTATTTCGAAATTTTGATTTTTGAAATTAAAAAAAAAAACGTGAACATCTCTAAAAATCCACAACATCTAGGCAGATTTTCGGAGCAAGTTCGATTTTTGTAAATTTCAAGAAAATAAATTTTTTATTATAAAGAGTTAATATTAATCTATTTAATTTTAATTAAATTTTTTTTATAATAATAATTCTCCAACATCTAGGCAAAATTACTATTATTTAAAGCACGATTGTATTCCCTCCAACATCTAGGCAGGGAAAAGTTTTTTTTTTTATTATTTTGTATTTTTTTTTTATTATTTAATTGTATTCAACACTTTGGTAAAAAATGTTTAAAGGAATTAAAAGTTTTAAAAATACACATTTTTTTAATTAATATTATTATCATTATTATTAACATAAAACAACATATACTTATTCTAATAAAATATAATAGTATTAAAATATGCATAAATAACAATAATAATAAAGTTAAAATGATATAAAAAATAGTTAAAACAAATTGGAAAAAATGTAAAAAAATATATATATACCTGAACCGAACTGGTTAACGGTCTGGTCAACATCAGTTCGGTTCGGTCTGGCAGTTTGGAACATAGGCAGTTCAAATCGATTCACTGGCGGCTCATTTGGATCGACTGAAGGCTGGTTGAGACGGGTAGCGGGTCAGTTTGGGTGGATCTCGGGTCGAGTCAACGGACACGCGCAGATACTTCTATGCTCAAAATGACGTCGTTTTGCTCCTATGCTTAAAACAGTGTAATT